TTTCCCTAGGGAGACAGGCTTTGTGGAGATAAATGTTAAAATAGCATGGGCCGTGTTTGTATAGCGTTATCAGATCTACAACTTTTTTAAAAGGAAATTTATGGGTTCATTCAGCCAAGAAATGGTTTGATTGCTCTTGGCAGTGGAAACAATTGCTTACGTTTGGCATTAAACAGACTCATAATAACCGACGCACATAAGTGATAATGCTGGTGGGATGGAGGGTCTTTATCTACTTCATACTGTAAAACACCGTGCAGAACTACTGCAGACGCTCATCACACAGACTTTATGGATTATGGCAAATCTGTTGTCATAATTGAAGACGATTCTATTCCCCAGTATCCACGATGCCCGTGTGCTACCTTTGTCTGGTTATTTTATTTTCTCATCAGTTTTTCTTAGTGGTTTGTGATCTTCCTGCGACACAACTGGAAGAAAGGTTGTGCCTGTCCCATGCTGTAGAGGGTATGCGGACTTTCCCTGGTGTTGAGGGTTATCACATTCCCTTTCTGTGGTGAGAGAAGAAATCAGGTCAGCTCTTGTTGCCTTCCTGAGGAGAGTCTTCCTTTGTTTTGTTGATTGTTTCTTCAGCACTGTTAGGTCACTTAGCTGCGGTCCACGTTTTCTCTCCCCGTCTATGTGAGGATCAGGACGGAAAGGACAGCCATTCTAGTGTGGCCTCTGCTTTCTCGTAAGGGGAAGGTCAGCTCTCTGCTGTGCGTCCCCAAGACAGGTATCGAGTTGCCAGAGCAAGTCCACAGATCTTATTTTGCACCTGCTGTATGCATGCGGCTAGGCTCAAGTGGCTTCGACTATTTATGGAAGTGACATTAAGCAGGTGAGGGGATGTCATAAAGTGAACTTAATTGCCAAGTGATTCATGTCGACTCCTTGGAGGGAGATAGCATTTCATGCCAGGGCGCTCAGGGAAGATTTGTGCCGAACGTTTCCACCGTCGGGCAGAATTCAGATGGAGAAGAGGACAGCCAGCATTTCTGCACACTGCTGATGAGTAGCAGACAAAAGGGTTTGACTGGAGTCGAACTTTGCAGGCTGGAAAACCGTAGGGAAAACATATGTACCTTTGGGACTAGAATGTGGAGAATCTTGAACATCAGGGAATTTGGATTTCAACTCGCAAAGCAATCGGGCATCTCAGGACATTTTTGAGCAGAAGAGTCAAAGTAGTCCTTTAATCCTAGACATGAATTTGGGGCTGGCAGATGGCATGGTAGTTAAGGTGCTGGACTCCTACATGGCCAACTGCAGTTCGAGTCCTGGACCTGGTGTCTTGCTTTCTCATTTTCCCTCTTTCTCTCTGTCTCAGTCTCTCTTTGATCGAATGAAAATGCAATAATCCTAATAAATAAAATTAAAATAAACAATTCTTTAAAAAAATCATAGAAATGAATTTAATAGCAGAGTGTATGGAGGGGAAAGAAGGAGAGGAGAATGAGGGAAACAAGATAGGTGTAAAGAAAAAAGAGGATTTAGGGACCAGCAGTTAGCGTAATGGCTATGTTGCTAGACTCCCATGTAGTTGACCGCAGTTCGAGTCCCAGACCCGGCAGCTTAAACTCACTCCGGGCGCGTGTGCGTGCGTGCCCAAGATCCCGAGAGAGAATGGAGGAGAAGGGATTGCGGCATGGTCATCCCCCCTGGGGGGTGATTTCTCTCTTTCTGTCTCTCTGTCTCTCTCAGTCTTTCTGGCGAGCGCACGCGCCCTATAGCAAAAACCTCACCAAAAAAAAAGAAAAAAAAAAAGTCTGCAGAGACCTAGTAAACTGTTCATTTTATTTTCGTAGAAGCTGACCGAGTGAATGACTATGTAGCATGTTTTCTAAGAAGTGTCTTCCCAGGACTGTATTTGTACTGGGGGTGCTGAGGGGCATACCTGATTCTTCTGTTTCTCTGCCAACCTAGATAGTAGTAACCACCAGCACTGGACCGGATTTGCAAAGCTACCATAATCAGACCATTAGGTAAGTGTGATGTTTTTCTTTTTATTCAAAATTTATCCCGGGGCCAGCAAATGGCATGGTGTCAAAGGTGCTAGACTTCTACCTGGCCAAGCCTGGTTTGAGTCCCAGACCAGGTGACTTGAAACACTCTGAGAGCATGTGCATGTGCCCCAAATCCCGAGAGGAGAATGAAAGAGAAGGGATTATGGCATGGCCATCCCTCTTGGGGGAGTGATTTTTTACTTTCCCTTTCTATGTGTCTCTCTGTGCTTCTCTGGCTAGCACACATGCCCTATGGCAAAACCCTTAAACAAACAAACAAATTTCTCCTGTAGCCTTCAGCTCTAATGTTATTCTACACCTCCTCACTGGGCTCTCCACCCTGTCGCAAATCTTCGTCCTTTTTTTTTTTTTTTTTTGAACCATGCACAAACTCTTCCCATTTCCCTTACAATCTTTTTTTCTAAGTAAGATAAACTAGTTCTCTCTCCATAACTCATTGTAAATTCTCCCTTTCATGGCACTTTATAATTCATTTTCTTTGAAAATTATCTTCTCTGAAGAATGCTGAAAAAAATAAATCACAGTATTAATGTTGCTTCTTGAGGATGGTTGGTAACTTTAGCTTAGTATAAAGCATAAAAGCAGACAGTCTTCATATTTATGTTTATAATCTAGATTTGAAATGTATGCGACTTCAATATTGGAGTAACTTTTCATTCTTCTCTAACTGTTCTCTACAAGTGTCACGGAAATGGAGAGGCAGATCCCTTGTGCTTTGTAATGTTCTAATTTGCTTCTACATCCATGTATAATAGTGGGATATTTTATAATGTCAGAACCATCGGGTAGCCTTTATTAGGAGTTTGGAGCATGTCATTGTAGCTAGATAATATAATTGAATGTTTAAGAATAAGGGTAAATATCAGATGTAAAGTTACCAGTTTCTGAGCCAGCCAATGGTTAAGGCACTGGATTCTACATGGCCAACTGCATGGTTCAAGTCCCGGACCTAGTGACTCAAGAAACTTACCAACTGTGTGTGTGTGTGTGTGCGTGTATGCACGCCCCAAATCCTGAAAGGAGAGAGAAAGGGAAGAGAACGGATTCTGGCATGACCATCTTCCATGGCGTGCTTTATCATTTTCCCTCTCTCTGGTACACACACCCTTCTGGTAAATTGAAAAACAAAAACAAAAAAAACCTTACCCGTTTTGTATATATCATTAAAGATATATATTTATCAGGACTGCCGGGCTCTTTGTCTGGAACAGGGGCCAGTGTATTCCTCCAGCCTTGAATGGTTTCCCTGCAGCAGGCAGAGGGCTGCCCCCACACCTACTCAAGGGACGCAGAGCCCCCACAGCCGAATTCTCTTGGAAACAGATTGTCAGAGAGAAAAACCAAGAGGAGCAGACACGGGACACTCCACATTCCTTCCTTCCTGTTCTTGTTTACATTTAAGTCAAATTGATTTCTTTTAAGCTCTAGGCATATAGAACAATTCTTATTTTCATGGTTGGATTTAAGGATTAGCGTTTCATAGGAAGGCTAAAGAAGCATTATTACTCAGCCTGCAAGGAGGAGGTCAGGGAATGACTTGATAGCTATAGTGAAGCAGAGGCTGGAGCTAAGAACAGAGCAGAAGGCTTCACAGGCACCGACATGCATCTGCATCAGCAAGGACTTCAACAGACGGGCGTTTTGTGATATAGTTGGTCCCAGTCAGTTCCCTCCAACTTATGATGGGTTGACTGAAGATTTTTGAGTTTGTAACAGTGCAAAAGTGATATGCGTTCAGTAGAACCATGCTTTGAGTATCCATATAACCATGTGTTTTAGACTTTTAGTACCGTATTGGATACATTGCTTGAGCTAGTCAACACTTGATTATAAAACAGACTTGTGTTAGATCACTTTGGCCCGCTGTGGGCTCCCGTCCACATTCTGAGCATGTCTGAGTTCACCTAGGCTAAGCTATGCAGTTTGGTTAGTGTTAAATGCATGTGTGACTTAACAATATTGCCAACTCATCATGGGCTTATTGGCTCCTAACTTCCTTGTAAGTGGAGGGGTATTTGTGTGACAAGTGGCCATGGGCTCTTCTCAAAAATAGAAAAGCTTGAGAGGTCTCTCTAGAGAAACAGAAAATCTCTTTCAGTGCCATGTTCTGTGAAGTGGTTCCAGAGTTTTGTTTCAGGATGTGTAGTCTAAAATAATAGCTTCCTCTTTCTTCCCTGACACCAACCTCCACCCCAGGACATTTTTTGACAACTGATTGAATTTCATAGGCTCCTCTTCATTTTCTGTGTAAAGGCTTCCTCTCCTTTAAATCCCAGAAATCTGGAGGCCAACAGAAGTGAATTGTAGACAGAGAGATCGCAGAACTGGGACAAGGTTGAGTCAAGTGGGGAGCATGCCTTGAGCGTAAAATTTAAGGGTCTACAAGAAAGCTCAGTGATGGTTTGCTAGGGTTTCCAAAATGAAGTATCAAAACAGAATGGCTTAAACAACAGATTTTTATCATCTCAGTTCTAGAGGACAGAGGTCTGAAATCCCAGTATTGGCAAGGTTGTGCTTCCTCCAAAGGTGCCAAGGAAGGATCCATTCTTCCCTGTCTTAGCTTCTGCTCGCCCTTTGGCTGTGGTAGCCAACTCCAGCCTTTACAGGGTGCTCTTCCTGTATGAGCATCTGTGTCTGAATTTCCCCTTTTATAAAGATACCAGCCCTAAGGAGGGGCCCACCCTACTCCAGTAGGACTTTGTCTTAACTCATTTTATCTGCAATGTCCCTATTTACATACAAGGTCACAATCTCAATATATGAACATGGAAGGGACCACGATTCAATTCAGTAGTAACCATGATCCATAACATTTTATTTATTTATTTTTTAAAGAATTGTTTTATTTACTCATAGTTATTGATTTGTTTATTTATTTTAATTTGAGCAGAGACAGGCACAGAAAGAGAGAGGGGGAAAGTGAGAAAGCAAGTCGCTAGGTCTGGAATTTGAACCATAGTCAGCCATGTTGGAGTCCAGCACCCCAACCTCTATACCATCTGCCATGCCCCATGATCAATAACATTTTTATGTGATATTTTAAAAATCAATGAATGCAGAGAATTCATGATGATAAGAATATCAACATTTCAAGTTAAGACAGGATCAGTAGGATCCTGTAAGATTCCAGGGATCAGGACTGACTTTTGGGTGCACACCAATTCAATAGCCCAGTGAAGGCATTAGAACAGTTCCTCACCTCATATTACTGACTGTGTCCAGACCCAAGATTATCCCTCACCATCCCCTTAGCAGTCCTTCCTGCACTCCTGGGATCTCTGCCATGAGAACAGCTAGAGTTAAACCTAGGTACTGAACTAGCTATTTTGAACCACTTCTCCACCAAGGATGCCTTTTTTTTTTAATGATTTTTTTATCCACTCATTTATTGATTTATTTATTTTTAGTTTGACCAGAGAGAGACACAGAGAGAGAGAAGGGAAGGTGAGAAAGCAAGCCACCAGGTCCGGGACTCAAACTATGTTTGGCCATGTGGGAGTGTCCAGTGCCTTAACCACCACACCACCTGCTGGTCCCCAAGGACACCATTTTCAGAGTGAACAAAGCATCAAATATCCCCAGTCTAATAGTTATAGGTTTTCTAAGGGAAGCTTCTTAATCTCTCCTTTTTATTTGTTCTTATAAAATAATTTAATGATAGCTATAACCCACAAAAGTGGTATAAGAAGATCAGGAATAAGAGTGTTAGTGACAAGTAACAACTTCAGGCCTCTGTAATGTTAAATTCACTCATTCATTCATCCACACATATTTATTGAGCATCTCTATATGCCACGTACAGTGCTCAACTCAGGGGATAACAAGAGCCAGATGGTGGTACAGCGGTAAAACATGATGCTCTGCAAGGAAATCCCACATGGCAAGGTTCCTGGTTCGAGCCCATAGACCTTTCTGAGTGTGCTGGGCACGCGCCCACAGACTAGAACTGAAGGCTGGGATTGGAACATGCTATCAAGACTTCATTGGGGTGCCGCCTCTCTCTCTCTAACTCATGAAAGAAATGATTAAATTATCTTTTTAAGTGAACTTAAAGAATAAAATCCCTACTTTCATGGAGCTTAAAAAAACTCTAATTGGGGTGACAGGTAGTAAACAACTAAATGCACCGATACATTTAAAATGACAAATTGTGGTGAATGCTAGAAAGGAGACGAATAACAGGTAGGTGACTTGAGGGGATAACAAGGAGCCCAGAACTTAGACCTGGTCCTGAGGAAGTGCCATTTAAGGGGGAAATTTCTGTGGAGGAGGGGGATAAGGGTATTCAAGACTCTAAGATCCCCCTACCAAAGAAACTTCAGGTTGGGGTTATCTCTGAGTTTGAGTGATGCTGATTACACAACATGAGTGATTCTCTCGGGTTACTGGTTCTCTGCAGTAATAAACCAGGACACTGTCTACGTCCAGATAAGAGGAAAGATAGTTTACCAGCTCGTCTGAGTTTTTCCAAAGGGACCAGCTCAGGCTTTGCAAGAGTCTAGCTCAGCTTTTATGTCAGTGAAATTGATGACCATCAAACAATGTACCGTACAAGAAATCTATTGCAATCTTTGTGCAGACACTGAGAAATCTGAGAGGGGAAAAATGCGGAGGCACCAATGTAGGTGGAGAGCCCAGGGACAGATCTCCTGTTGGCTGATATCATGATGGGTTAAAAATGACAGACCAGTGCCAGAGAGACCAAGAACTTTACACTAGTTGCAAAACTCAGTTCAAACAAGGATCCATAGAAAAAAGATGTAAATGTTTGGTCATAATTTAAAAAATATAAGTGTACGTTCTTTTGCCAGTCTCTTTAGAGAAGGCCTTCCTTTGCGTACGGATCAGGGGATTGGCATTCCCAGTGGTCTTTCTTGCATAAACAACACCCGATTTCTGCTTGTTCCAAATAAAAAGAAAACAAAGAGGCTTGTGAGACAATCAGCACCCCAAATGCACCTAGATTTCAATTCATTCTCCCGAGTGTTTACACTTTTCTTAATTCCACAATGATTTTTCTTTTTTAGTAACCTCTCTTTACTGAATCTACCCCAAGTAATCAAGTGAGTTTTCTTCTAGAAAGCACAGCTCCTTTCTCCCCACGGATGTTACCGGATTACGTATTGTAGTAAGTGATGTGATTACGATGGCCGTACAACTGGCCCTAACTGGTTTGAAAATAAACATCACTCTCGCCAAGCCTGTGGCTCAAAAAGCAGGAGCAAAATTCCAGCATCAGACTAGGTTAATAATAACCATGACCAGCAGGTTGGGTGCCTGCTATGTGCCTGCCACTGCTCTAAATGCTTCCTTTCTATGTTGGATCCTTTAATGCTCACAACTGGATAGGTAGGTACTACTGCTATTTCATTTATAAAAAGGAGTAGAATAGGATAGTCCCATGGCCTAGTGTTTGAGGGATTTGGATCCCACATGGCCTTCCACAGTTCGAGTCCTGGCCCTGGTGGCTTGAGGAGCACCTTGGGCATGTGTACATGCATGTCCAAATCCTGACAAAATGGAGAAATAGAGAAGGGATTGCAGTGGGACTCTGCCCCATAGGGGTACTTTCTCTTTTTATATCTCTTTCTCTTTCTGGAGAGCTCACTGTGCCCTCTGGCAATTAAAGAAAAAAGAAAAAAGAAAGAGGAGGCTGAGACTAGCCTCCATGGGCTAGGATTCAACATGTAGTAGGCTTTAGTCAGATGCGTTGGACCCTCAGGTAAGCTGGGGACCTGGTTAAGTGGGAGCTGGTTAACAGCTTCCACCACAGAAGCATTGCTCAGCGTCCATCAGGTGCCAGGGACCGTCTCACGAGGGTGGTTGGAATGGTTAACTCTTCCCAAGGTCTTGAAAACCAGTCAGTTCACAGATCTTGGAGGTCCTGACTTTGTGGTCTCTCCTGAACACAAAGGGAAGAGGCCATTATCTCCTTCCAGTCCTTCACGGATGGAGTTCTGGAGAGAAAAGTGTCAGGAGGTGAAGCACTCCCTTCCCAACTGGGTGGCATTTGTATAAAGCTGGTGCTAAGTGCCCGTGCTCGCTCCCATCAGCCAACGGCGGGCGGGCCTGTTCCTTGGCCCTTTCGAGCTTCCTCTCCAGCCTGGTGCACCTGCTAGGGTAGGGGCCGCCCATCCCTTGTCCTGGAATAACCCCGGACTGCCTGGCTTCGCTGATCCGACCGTGGCTAGCTCGCTCTGTCCCTGTTCACGTCACCCTGGCCTTTGGCTCCCTTGCTCCCTGGGCTCCTGGCAGCCGGCCTGACATGACGCTTCCTTCCCTTCTGCTTCCATCTGCCCTCGAAGCTGCTAGGCTCCCTGCTCATGGCTCAGCTTCTCCCCAACACCTGCCTTGCCACCCTCTCACGCTTCACATATGCTCCGATCACACCTTGTCCACCCAATCCTATTGTCTTTTTTTTTCATTGCCAGAGAACCTCTGCACTCTCCAGAGAGAGACAGAGAGAGGAAAAGGGAAAAATCACCCCCTCTCTCCATGGAGCATGATCATGCTACAATCACCATTTCTTTTTTTTTTTTTTTTTTTTTAATTTTTGAGAGGATTTTGCTATAGGGCTCATGCGCTTGCCAGACAGACAGAGAGAGACAGAAAGACAGAAAGCAAGAAATCACCCCCCAGGGGAGATGGCCACACCACAATGCCTTCTCCTCCATTCTCCTCTCGGGATCTTGGGCACGCACGCACACGTGCCCGGCGTGAGTTTTAAGCCACCGGGTCCGGGACTCGGTGAGAGTCCAGCGACATAGCCATTATGCTAACTGCTGGTCCCCCTTCACCATTTCTTCATCCTGTTGGGATTTGGGGCCATGTGCACCTGCACACTCACATCTGGCGTGGTTTTCAAGCCACCAAGGCTGGGATTCAAAGTGTACAACTGGCCATGTGGGATCCAGCCCCCTTAGCCACGAGGCTAGGAGGCCAGCCCACTACCTCTTATCTTCGACTACGCCCTTTGACCCTCCCTGGCCTTTTCCTCCTAGCTAAATTTGACCGTAGTCCTTCTCCAATCATCTCCATTTTTTTTGTCTTCCTCTACCGTCACCTTCTATTCATTCAACACACTTAGATTTTCTTTTTCTGTTTTTAAAAAAGAATGATTTATTTTATTTTACTTATTATTATTAGTTTTTAATTTGACCAGAGGGAGAGAGAGAGAAAGGGAAAGTGAGAAAGCAAGCTGCCAGGTCTGGGATGTGAACCACGGTTGACCATGTGGGAGTCCAGTGCTTTAACCACCACGCCACCTGCTGGCCTCTACGTTTTCCTTTTAGAACAAAATATCTCCAAGAGTGACCATTCCAGATCATTCCATTGATTGCAAACTACACCCCCAGTGTCAACCTTCCAGCATATCATGAGTATTTACCCTGCCAGATGCTGTCTGTGTGGACCATTCACTCAGTCCTCTTCATATTCCAAAGAGAGGAAGTATTATTTTACAAATGAGAGCGTAGTCTCAGAGAGGTTGAGGGACTGAGCCAAAGTCACACAGCTGGTAAAGTAGAGTGGGGATCTTAAGCCAAGTCCACTTTGACTCCCCAGTGGCCTTATCTGCTAAAACCCAGAGGGAAAGACTGGTGGCGATGTGGGTAAATCAATGAAGAAAATCTTCTCTGAAATAACCTGGTTCCAGCCCAGAGATGCCTTCATCCTTAGTGTCTTCTCCAGCTTCCAGGAGGATTTCCATTACAACGACACGGATGGTTACTTCATTGTTGGAGGGAGCAGGTACGTGGCCGGCATTGAAGGATTTTTTGGACCCCTGAAATACTATCGCCTCCGCAGTCTACACCCGCTGGAGGTGAGTCCAGGGGGCCAAGGAGAGGGTGGCCAGGCTGGTGCGTGATGGGTGTGTCACTCCCCAATGTGGAGTTTGGCGTAAACAAAAGATTTACGCATTAACGCTGTCATCACACATAATTAATATCGAGGCGTCCCCCCGCCCCCACCGACATGATAATAGATTTCTGTTAACGTTTGGTTCATTTAGTACCCATAAAATGGAAACCGTTTACTTCCTCTGTTTTCATAACGACTAGTTTAATTATAGAGGAGATTTTTATCAGGCTGTTGCCTATCCAGTGATTAAGCTAATGAAAGGAGAGAGTCTTAGTTATTTGGTAAGGCTTCTTTTATATGTTGTGATTTAAAGCAGCAGATGAGGTGGTCGGGCAAATTAAAACCCTGGTTCCGTTGGCTGCTCCTCAGAAACCTGGCTCAGGCTGGGGCGGTAGGCTGGGGTGGTACTGGTCCAAGGGGCCTTTGTGTTCAGGCCCAAATCCACTGCGCGGTGGCGCTCACATTAGAAACTCCAACACGCAGGGAGCTGGCCGGCTCTCCAGCCAACTCGAGCTAGGCTGTGGGTCAAGGGGGGGAAGGGTTTCCTGAGATGGAGTCTTCACTGTCATTGTTTACTCACTGTGGGGAGGAGACCAGGAACTGCACTTGATCCTGGACGGTCTTCCTTTCCCCTAATGCTATGGGTTTGTCCTGGGAACATTGGGGGGTCACTTGGCAGTCATAATTAGGAGAAACCGAGAGCCCTACTGTTCACGGGTGATGGCTTAGCTCCTCTACTAAGAGACCTCCGTGAAAGGAAGAGAATGAAATTCGTGTATTTATTTGTCTGACACTTACTGATTACCTCCTACGGGCCAGACTCCTTGCTAGGTGCTAAAACAAGCAAGGTAGCTTTTCTTTTTAAGAATTATTTATTTATTTATTATTTTACATGAGTTTGCCAGAGAAAGAGAGAGAGGGAGAGTGAGAAAGCAAGCCTCCAGGTCCGGGACTTGAACAGTGGTCAGCCATGTAGCAAGTCCAAGTGCCTCAACCATCATGCCACCCGCCAGCCCCGCAAAATAGCGTAAAAAAAACGTTTTAAAAAGTAGTGCAATAAGAAATGTGTTTGATATCATGAACAGTACGTATGTGTGCATTATATCTATCTAGAGATACACACACTACTCACACAGACACGCGCGCACACACACACACACACAAACTGCAGTGATGTTCCTTGGAATACATGCCCTTGCTGTGTTCAGTGCAGTCTGATATTTTGTGATCTCATCTATAAAAACAAAAAAACACCACCAAAACTTTCCTGGTTACAACCTGCTGGAATAATGTCATGACCCTCTAATGGGTCCCCACCTAGATGATAAAACACACTGAGTCAGGCAAGTCCCCTGTTCCTCGGTGCTCCCAGGTGTTCTGGGTCCTAACTGGTGAGCCATCAGAAACCATGCCGCTTTAATGCAGGTGTGAGCCCAGTGTTTGGGGGTGGGGTCAGGGAGCCCCTGCCACAGGGAGGAGGGCGGGCTGACAGGGAGGTAGTGGCCTCGTAACCAGCGCTTGAGGCTGAGTAGGAGCCTGCCATGCCGAAGAGCAGAGGAGGAGGACTCCCTGCAGCAGAGGCAGCATGAATAGACTTGGCACCCCTTGGTGGGAATTGCAAGTGAAAGTTGTGATTTTTCTGAGGACAACATGCACAGGGGAACAGAGAAGGGGGAGGCGTGGTCTCGGGGAAACCCTGCCAATGAAGGAGAAAATGCCACAAGTGGAAGCTGGAAGGAAGTGGCCCAGGCTGGCATGCCCTTGAATCAACCAACAGCCCAGGCTGGCCATCCCAGAGGGCATGGCACATGTACACACAAGCCGATGGGTGAGGTCAGTGGAAAAATAAGGTCCACGCGAACCCGTCCCCCGAGATTCCAGGGGCCGTTAGATGACAGTGTGTGATCCCCCAGTTTTCTTGCCTCTTGCAGATTTTTAACCCTCTCCTTGAGAATCGACTTGCCGAACACATCAAGTTATATTACGAAAGGTGTGCCGAGATTCGGGAGATCGTGTCTGTGTATGCGTCTGCGGTCCAGCACGGAGGCACGAGACAAGAGTCATGTAGGTATCGAGCTCGGGGGGCCGTTTCCAGCTCTGCATTTCACACGGCTCTGTAACACAGGTCCATAACACGGCTCTGTAACACAGGTCTGGCTGCTGTGTCCCAGGGTTAAAATAGAACATACATGATTGGGCTCAGATACTGTTGGGGACAAGCCCTGCACAGAGGGACACAAGAGGGCATATACATTCCACCTGGATTCCAGAAAGGCCAATGGCAGCCAGAAAGAATCAGAGCGTGTGTCGTAGCGGCGGCCATATGTAATCTAGTTTAGGAAGACAAATGAACGAGAATTGAGCCTTGCGTGGCATGATGCCTATCCGTAAGTCCAATCTACGAAAATAAAGATGAATTGAAAAATAAATTAACCCTTAGCAATGTTTTCCCATCGGTGCGTTTTTGTGTTGGGGCCCTTAAGAACTCTATATTCGCTTTCAGAAACGTTGAACAATGCTTTGTTCTTCGGGGCTGGGTTTTGTTCTTTAAATCCTTGAAATTGACTCACGCCGGAAGACATCGGTAATTTTCAACAGAAGGAATGGATTTCAAGTAGATGGTTTGCACGCGTGCTCACACGTGCACAGACACCTTCCGCTCACGCAGGGTGTTTACCAGTCTGTCTTGTCCCAGTGGTGATTGGCGTGTACCTAGCACTGACAGATTTTGCTGTCGATCTGCTGGTCTGAGACAGTGGCACTAGTTAGTCACATATGTTCCTTCTGGAAGAGAAATTCCTGTGGGTCCCTTGCCATCAGCAAAAGCGAATTGAGTATTTCAGTCCCGTCTGTGTATCTCACCATCTGCACAGCGGAACTTCCCCTTCCAGGCTTTGGGGGCTGCATGATCCCTGAGGTGGCCCAGTCCCACAGGGGTCAGGTGAGATGGTCCAGGGAGTGAGCAGAGACTGGGATCGGTGAGCGCAGACAGGCAGCACTGCTGCAGCTGCTGCGGTCCTGTTTAAGGGTAGGCCCTGCTGGTACCTGGCTGCTGTTCCCACTGCTGAATCACCCAGGAAATTCCGTCCACGAGGAAGAAGATACTTAGGAATAGTAATATCCCGACCAGGACAGACACGGATCTGGGCAACTCCTGTAATGTCAGGAGAGACGCCCGAGTCGGAGGCCGGTCTTGCCTGCTGGTCCTTTGGTGGCCTTGGGGGAATTTTCCTGACGTCTTAACTGCCCGGGCTGCCTGGGGTCTTGCGCTTTGCTCTTCTTCTCACATGCCAAAAAAATGGCCCAGATAAAAATGGCCCAGATATTGGCCTCCTGTGGACCAGTCAGAGGCCAGCTGCTCACTCTAGGATTATTCAGCAGCCATCAGCTATGGTGCCCTCGGCCGGCCTCGGCTCTGAGTGTGACCTCGAGGCAGTGGCATCGGCTTTTGCCC